ACTGGAGGCATCCATGTTTGTCAAAGAACACTACTGCCACCTACTGGTTAGTGACATTGTCACGGTGCGGTATCGGCTGTTGATCAAGTCCCAGTGCTGTATCTGGTGTTTGTCACAACGCGCTATTATCCAAGTCATCTTGAAAACATTCTTCTTCCAAATGTTGGCTACATATTACGGGTTTTTTCTCTGGCCAGAAGTTCGATGGCAAATCCTCCCTCTTCAAGTTGGCGATCCAACGACCAACCCGTCCGTGGAGGATCAGGGATCAGAAAGGTGGAATAACTCTTTTTTTTCACTTTTCCCCGATGTATTCCAGCATCCAGCTGCCATGCACGTGGGCATTGTCAGTTTCACTATAGCTCTGGTGAATTTCAATGGTGAAGTCCTCTGGAAATCTTCAATAATTGTTGTTGATTGCAGATGTGTCTAGTAGTTCCCATTGATTTAGCTTGGAAAGCGGGGAGAATGGCGCTAGGCTTACCGCACCGTGACGTCACTGCTGGAAGATGGCAGGAGGGAGGGGCTACTATATTTGGGCAAAAATGGCCGCTCCCAGACTCCAGGTGATGGCGACAAAAAGTATTATTTTATTTTATTACTGATTAACGCCAAAATCACAAAATCCCCGCAAACTTATTAGCTTTAAGTATAAATAATGATCCATTGATTATTCCTTGCTGATCGGATTTTTCCTTTAATTAAGCTGAGTCAAATAAAAAATCGCATCTTGATTCATGCAAATCTGGTCTCTTATTAGCTTATTCTAATATTATTCTAATATTGCTGGATTAGACCTGATATAATCAAGACTGTTGCAGCAGCAGGAAGTATTTTAAGTAATTCTATCGGGAATAATTTGCAGACAGTTTATTTGGAAATGGAACCCCATATCGTCTTAATATTAATTCATTCTATGTTAGAAGTTTGATTACATTGGAAATACGTATTTAAACTAAAGTCATTATTGAGGAATAAACTATGTAATTAAATTATAGAATCTAATAAATATTTCAAACAATTATTTGTTAAAATATGCAAAAGTCTACAGTTTGTACTCAACATATTATTAGTTAGCTGCAGATCCATTTATGACTTTAAACACTGACTGACATGTTGTAGTAAGAACCGATTTGAAAGGCAGACATAAAATAACTCACTCTTTGCCATCCTGACATTTTGAATTAATATTTTGCTTCCTGGATGGGAAGCAAAATATCAAACTTGGAAAAAAAGTCCAGTGGATTTTTTAAAACTTTTTTTTGGAAATACTCTTTGACATTTTGCCATAAAATGAATGAATGCATATTTAATAAAAACACAAAAATGTAATAAAATATTTATTTCTTTTTCAGGGTAAACTTAGTTTTATTAATTTGATGCATGCAACTAATATTATTTTAAACTGTCACATTTACAAATTGACGGTTTATTGAAATTGTGGCCTTTCCATACCATTTCCATGATAGTTTTTGGTTTGTAAAACATTTATTTTTTTTGTTTTTATCTCTTATAAAAATAAAGCAGAAACTTTTTCTCACCTCGTTTATGACTTTTTGAGCTGAATGTTTTCTTCAGCTCTACTACTTAGCATGTGTCTGTCTGTCTAGATCAAACCGTCCAACTAAACTAACTGGAATGAAAAAAAAACTCAAAACTGGAAAAATTAAATGAGACCAAAATGTCTGCTTTTGTTTTCTCCAAAATTCTGACAAAAAAGAGAGAAAAAGTACACTTAATGGTTCAATAGCAAACTGGGTTCATGTGCACTTAAAGGATGGAAAACATTTCAATCATTTCTGATTTGCTGCCTGCCTGTCATCCCTCTGTTAAGATCTGAAGGTACTAAAAAGGACCTTTAGTATTTGTTCAGGCGCTGTTGTAGCTGACCTGAAAAAGCTTTGCCATAAATTGTCAAAATGATCTTTTGTTGCAGTTGAATTCACTGAATATATTGTTTTTTAACCTTCGCTGCATCAGGTGATTGATTTAATCAAAGCGGGGACAAGGTCAGCTCGAAAACAATTCTTTTACAATACTTTTTTCTCAGACAATTTACAGTAAGAAATAATGACAGACATTAGGGTAAATATAATGCTTGTTAATGGTAAACATTGTTTAGTGCAGGAGTCTTCAACGTTTTCGAGGCCAAATACCCCCAAACTGATGGGGATGGAGCAGGGACCCCCTAATTATATATATTGTCTGAAATAGTGTTCTATCAACCTGCTCCTATAGTCACTCTATTACAGATGGAGTAATGTAACTAAAGTAATCCCTCCCTGGGATTATTAAAGTATTTCTGATTCCTGGTTGATGGGACAGGTGTTGTGAATGAAACGGTGCCCAGCTAGAAAGAGCTCCTGTGTGTCGCTGAATGTGAGCATTGATGACTGAAAGACATCTTCTGCCTCCATTTATCTGTTTACTACAGTCTGATGGATTCATGTTAATGTGGATTTAAAGACATTTCAATTAGTGGAAAAAATTGCAGGAGGGAATATAAAAAAAAGGAATCAACCAAGATTTTTGCGACCCCCATGCAGGACCTCCTCGGACCCCCTAGGGGTCGCGGACCCCCTGTTGAAGACCTCTGGTTTAGTGCATTTTTTATTTATGTTCAAATTATTTAAATCGAATCGGAACAAGAAATTTAAGTTAATGTTTACCAATCACTTTTTTTGTGATACACATCTGTTAGTATTTCTGAAATTGATTTAATTATTGTTATTATTTGATCATTTCTGAAATTGGAATTCAGGGGCGTGCATCCATAGACACTAGGTGGTGCTAAAGCACTAGGAAGTTTGCCCTTTATCAACGAAAATGCCCTTTTGAAACTCGTTTTTTTTTTTTTTTTTTTTTTTATTAATATTATTAAGATTTTACTGAGGTTGGTTTTGAAATGATCTTTTGAAAACCTGAGCCATTAAAAATGACTGAAACAATGCCCCGAAATGAGCCACCTCCTTGCGCACACGACCAGCCTCTCTCTCTTCCTTTGTCACGTGACCTCGCGCGGTCGCCCGCAGGGCACGCCAGATGCGCAGCATCATAGCAGTTCAGTAAGCGTCTTCAGATAGCAGGAACGGTCGCTTTTTTATAATTAAGTGTTCCACGTGCGCTAAAAAGTGCCTTCCCCCCTCCTCCTGAGCACCTGCCCCCCAAAATGTCTGTGCACGCCTCTGTTGGAATTCTTTTATTTATTATTATTCGTTCCTTTAATTTATTTATTTTCTTTGTTAATTTGATTAATTTATTCTATTTATTAATTTGTTACTATTATTATTGTCTGAAATAAATAAATATTCATCCATTCATTCATTCAAAACTAAGGGACATTTTTAAAATCAGCTAAACAGGCTTTTCTGTACCTGTGCCTTAAGTCTGTATTCAAGTTAGTAATCCCTGGAAAGGTTCACTCCGATGCCGAGAAGATTATTGCCCAGAGTTAATGCTGCAGCAGAGATTGGATTCTTTTCAAACAAAAGTAAAGTACTTGTGCATTCTCGTGTATTCATGAAACATCATCAGCCTCAGCATTAGTTCTGTTCCAATTCACAAGAACAAGAAGATCAAGCGTCATTACTCCGTCCGCCCCGGAAGTACGCTCCGTCCTGCGCATGCACTGACAAAATAACTTCTGAGTAGGCAATACTTTTTTACTCTTTTGTATTTTTCAGGCAAGATTTCCTTTTAAATATTTTTGAATTTGCATAAATATGGCATATTCTGAAAACGTTTAAAAAAGCAATACGTATTCATTTCTTCCAGAAATAAAACAAAAAATTCACCATCAGAGCCAGAGTCTAGCACTTTGATTTCTAAAAAGCTCCTAGCGCCAAATCTAGAGACTTTTTTCTGCTACTGGAGACTTTGGAGACAACATCTAAAAGCAGCGAACTCTGCTCTCCAGAGCGAGTAGATTGGTAACCCCGCCTCCTGCTCTCCTCTATCTTGTCTGCTGTCATGATTCATGCAGCTATTATTTCATCCAAATGAAAAATGGAGAACAGATAAGCAGATCATGGCTTGTCTACAGTGAAAAGAAGGACTGGGTTATTTACTTTGGCCTTTTTGGAAACACAGGAAGGAGCAATCAGCTAAGTGAGCTTAGTGCTTGGAAAAAATCTTTCATTCCTTTAGAGACAGCATGAAAAGTCAGCTGAGTACAAAACATAGAGAGGAAAACAAGAAGAAAAGGGACAAGAAGAGAGGGACACAACCTAGAACAGATAATGGATGTCTATTCTATTAACATTTCTCTATCTGGAGAATGGGGCTGTTTGATGTGTTGTCAATTCAGAGGGCCCCCTGCCTGTGTTAACCTAGGGCCCCACATTTCCTAAATCCGCCCCTGCAAACAACACACAGTTTTTGATTAATTTGCCAAGATAATAATGTACACTGCAAAATTTTTTATCTAAATAAGTCATTTTTTACTTAAAATAAATGCATTTTTCCTTGAATTGAGGAGATAAGTGAGACAATTTCCCAATGGAATAAGAAAAAACAACAGCATTGTCTTATTTCAAGTGCATATTATCTAATTGTCCTATTCTAAGAATAAAAACACTATTTCCACAGGTAAACCATCTTATATATCTGCTCAAATAAAAGGTAAATACACTTAATTTAAGAAATATTGACTTATTTCGAGATTGTTTTTGCAGTGTATAATTAGAATAGAAAAACCTTCTGATTGACATTCAGCAAATGCTCCAATATTAATTAAGCTTAGCTCCGCTATAAAGTCTTGTATCATGAGGAATTGATGTGCTGCTGTTTTCCCTAATTCTTAAAAGAAACGTTTTTTCTTTGTCGGCTCATGAACTGAGCCTCTGCTCTCTTAAAGCGCTGTGTGTTTCGCATCGCTGGGAGACTTTGGGCTGTAAAATCTGAGCTTCCCTCAGACAACTGTAGGCAAAGGCAGATGTCAGTATTTCCTCTCCTACAGCGACTCTCCTTAACATTTCTGTCCTCTGCCTTTCTGTCCGCAGGCGAGCAGTTCGTCCGACAGTCCTCGGGGTCGCCACAGCTTCGTCCAGGAACACTTTCAGGCTCAGTACAGGTGAGAGGAGCTGATAGAAGCCAAAGGAATGCAGAGTATGTCTGCATCAGCTTTGATGTTGTTGGTATCGCTCCCATGGGTGAAACAATGATGCTTATTTCCTTCTGGTTTCACTTAGCGGACGGGTTTCTGGTGAAGGTAGCATGTTTGGGATTTTGTTTGCATTTGGGACGGTGATAGTGATGCATGGCTGGATTTCTGGCTGAAAAAAACGGCTGAAGTGCATTTTTGTTATGGTGTTGAAAAGTTAGGAAATTCTAAATAATATCTGTAGCATTATTATCAATACAAAACCTTTTATGTGTTTATCCTGAATAAACATGTTCAGACACTTGAGAAAATTTTTAACATGCTTGTTTCTTTTTTTTTTTCTACTTGTTATATTTTAAGAATTTCACTGCAGCCTGTTGGTGTTTCTGGCAAATGCATTGGAAGTGAAAATGAGGAGGGAATTACTTTTAAAACCTGGATGCTATGAATTATTCAGGGTTCTTACTGCGTACAGTAGATAAGCTGCTGGGGTTCATTTTTATTTTTTGTTTTTGTAAGTGCAGGGCAATAATAGAGGCCATTAGAGAGAATATCTGTTCAGCTGTTGTGGATGAAAGTAGGTCAGACAGACCTGTTGAGTATCTGTTGGGATTTATCTCCGACTCTGCATCTCGTTGCCTCACTAGCAACATTAAAGGAAAATTCCGGTTTTTAACACTTTTAGCCCATTTTCTGTAGTGTCCAGGATGAAATCGAATGATTTTTTATCGAATGACTTTTTTTAAAATATGCTACTCACCGGGTCGTCAGCGCTGTTCAATGACGTTCCAAAAAAATTTTCGTGAAGAAAAACCGTTCCTGTCTTGTTTTATTTAGCATTTTGTAAATCCCAGAACTATTTTTTCCGATACATCACAACCGCTTATAAACTTCCGCTTCCCGTTCGAATCTGAAGCGTTGCACACTCCAGACCACTAGTTGGCGACGGTATCCTCTACCGTCAAACTCAAAGTCCAATATGTCCTCCTCAAGAATCCACCTTTCGTATTCCATTTTCAGAATTTTTTAAAGTGTTTAACAGAGACGTTAGCACCTCGACGTCGGAGTACACAGAGTGAAGCGAAAAGACTACAACTGTGTAAACAGGCCCCATTTCCGTTTCCGGTGGCGGAGAGATATTGACTATTCCAACAGAACTCAATGGGATTTACAAAATGCTAAATAAAACACTACAGGAACGTTTTTTCTTTACGAAACTTTTTTTGGAACGTCATTGAACAGCGCTGACGACCCGGTGAGTAGCATATTTTAAAAAAAGAACGTTTAAGGTTGTTTTAAGGACATTATCGGACATGCACTATGGAAGCCATTCTGAAGCAGCCAGGGGGGGATTCTGCATGAGCCAAAAAGCAGAGACAGGACCAATTGTCAACATTTTGGTGTCGATCATTCGATTTCATCCTGGTCACTACAGAAAATGGGCTAAAAGTGTTAAAAACCGGAATTTTCCTTTAATTCAATTAAATTCAGTTTATTTATATAGAAAAAAATCATTACACAGCTCATCTAAAGGCACTTTATAGAAACAATTCAACCAGATCATCCAGTCAGATTGATTCAAAGTTTTCTATCTAAGGAAAACCAGCTGATTGCATCGACTCATTGACTCTTCAGCAATCCCTCACACTAAGCATGCTTGTAGCGACAGTGGAGAGGAAAAACTCCCTTTGAACAGGAAGAAACCTCCAGCAGAACCAGGCTCAGTGTGAGCGGCCATCTGCTGAGGCCCACTGGGGTTCAAGGAGGCAGAAGCAGACATAGAAAAAGAAGCATAGATACAAAAGGCAACTGTCAACCAGCTCCACAGGCGGCCCCGTCCAGGAAACACACAGCCAGGCAGACGAGCTCCGAGCCAGCTCCCATGTCAGAGGATGAAGAGAGCACATCCAGTTAGTCACAGTCAGAGAAACAGGACTACACTGGAAAACAATCTGTAAATAAGTAAAACAGTTTTAAATTAAGGGTATTTACCGTTAATTTGAGTAGGTAAATGAGATTGGAATGAGTATTTTTACTCTTAAAATAAGATATTTAGATAAACTTGAAATAAGACAATGCAATTGTGTTTTCCTATTTTAATGTAAAATTGTTGTAAAGCGCTGCTTCATGCTTTATTAGATCTGGTTCTGGAAAAACAAAACTCCATGTTACTTAGCGTATCAATAACGCCAAAACTGACCATTCAGTTGATCATGTGAGCTAACATTGGAAACATCCGGACATGTCAAGGATTGAAGAGAGCACATCCAGTTAGTCACAGTCAGAGAAACAGGACTACACTGGAAAACAGGCCAAGCTCCAACATCTAGAAACAAAGGTGTTGATGGCAGCATTTACAGTTCCATTTTTTGGCTTTTTAAAAGGGGGTTTTTCCTCTCCACTGTCGCTACAAGCATGCTTAGTGTGAGGGATTGCTGAAGAGTCAATGAGTCGATGCAATCAGCTGGTTTTCCTTAGACAGAAAACTTTGTATCAATTTGACTGGATGATCTGGTGAACTGGAAAGTGACCTGAGATGACATGATGTGAATTGGAGCTATAGAAATAAACTGAATAGAATTGACTGGCATGGCTATCGCTGCCCCTGCAGAGTTAGGGACTAATTTCCCCCTTGGATCAGCTTCATAGTCATGTTAGGTCACTTCTTTTATTTAATTTAATTTGCTCAGGCTACTCCTAAGCCCACAGGCCGCCAAATGTTGAATATTGTTGCCATTACTGTCAATAAATAGCAGAAATTTTACACATTCAGTAATAAAATGTCACAGCGGATGATATGGCGGGGTGGTAATTAAGATCTTTTAGCATCGTGAGACCATCCTGATCTGGCGAGCTTTCAAGGTTTCACTCGCAGATCAGTCTGGAGACTCTCCGTTGAAGAAAATTTGGAGCCGTTCACCAAACGAACGTCCAATCAGCGTTGGCTTTGAGGCGGGTTGAGGTGTGACGCAACGAGAAGCGCGACAGTTCAGTCTAAAGAACATGGCGGCTTCAGCCGATGAAACTAGCGTTAGCGTGGCTATCGAGCAAGTTTTATGGGAATTACAGAGTATTTCTTCACTGAAAGAAGAGCAAAACACTGCTCTGGAGGCTTTTCTCAGAGGAAAAGATGTTTTGCTCTTCTCCCGACTGGTTTAAGCAAGAGTTTGATCTATCAATTGGCTCCTCTTCGTCGTCGCTCTGTTAGTACGTCATATGCTTCGTTGATCTGATTGGTTTATATGGCCCGTCTATCACCAACATAGGCCAATCAGCTAACCAGTATTTTCGCCCCTTCCCAAAATTACTTCAACGGAAGGTTTCCAGATGGATATGCGGAGAAAATCCATCTGGTGGAGTCAGGTTAGTGATCTTTAAGATTTTTTAAGAAGGGGCATGCAGCACTGTTAGTGATTTCAAATAGAAACTTTGTTCTTATGTGAAAGCCTTTATTCTAATTATTCTTGAATTAGAAGAATTTAACTGGGAAATTTCAATTGGTTCATTTGAAGTTCTGTGTAGTTTTTGATAAAAATGATTCTACTCATAATTATTCAGACTGGGAGATAAAATTTTAAAGCATATTTCTTGTAACTGAGGTTCTTTTAATGGTTTGATTGGTGCAGAATTTGGAGAACATGCTAAAGGTTGGGGGGGTGGGTTGGGGGGGGGTATCTTTCTGCTGTAAAGAAGGTAAATCTTTGCAGTGATATTTTCACAGAGTCTCAGTGGAACGAATCCAACCCTCTCCCTCCACATGCTTTGTTATTTTTCTCAGCTTCCAGCGAAGCCTCAGCTGACTGGTTTCCAGGTGCAGAGGAAGTTACTTCCTGGTGGCTCCCACTCACTTAATGACTAATAGATATTTTGGATGTTTGAGAATTTGTTTTCCGCTCCAGGTTTCATCCATCCTACCCAAGTGCCAACATGCAAATTCATTTCTATTTGTATTTCTGTGTCCAAAGCAGCTTTTTAAAAATCTGCTATTGCCCAGAGACTGTGGCTAGTGGAGCCATTGCTCCCTTCCAAAGATGTTCCTGTTTTACTGTTTTTATTGATTTTTTTTCCCCCTGTATCCCCTGCTCGCTCGCCCGCCTTCCTCTCACTCTCTTCCTATAACACCTGCTCATTCTCAGGCTCTTCCTGCTTCTTTCCTCTCCAGTCTAAATATCTGACAGTGATTTTTCTCAAAGGAGTTTGGTGGAGATGTCTGATATGAATAAATGTTTATGATTAGAGCTGGGGGCCATCTTGTGAATTGAGCTACAGACGCTCTTTGTCAAAACCTTCCTCTCATCTCCTTCTGTTTGGTGATTTTATTCTTAATGGCAGATGAGATGCAGAGAAAAGACTCGAGCTCCGTATCTTTCTAGTAAGCCAGATATGGGAAGAATATTTGTTCCTACAGTTCTGTTTATTTAAATAATGCTGCAGTACGTTTGCATGGATGCTCATTATCAGAGATGGGAAGTAACGAAGTACAAATACTTCGTTATACTTCGTTACTGTACTCAAGTAGATTTTTCTGATATTTTTACTTTACTTTACTACTTATTTTTATGGCGACTTTTTACTTCTACTCCTTACATTTTAAAAAATTGGCTCGTTACTTTAGTTTTGAATCATTTCAATGGAGTTACCGTTATTATTTTTCACGTCATCAATACCAAATTCAATCTAATTGGATGGGAATCTACGTTGCATTTGACGCACCACTACAAGATGAATCGACAGATTCGGCGGTATTCATTGGCGGCAAATCATTGCAGCTTGGTGGCGGTGGCGTTAGCATAGTAGCATGGACGACGAGATGATTGAAAATGAACACAACGGAGATCTAGTCCTATTGGCAGACATCCATTTAAAATGTAGGCAACGGCATGAAAAAAGTGGTTTCTACTTTTACTTTGATACTTTAAGTAAATTTACAAGCCTGTACTTTGTTACTTTTACTTGAGTAAAGAAGTTTA